AGATATGAAAGTTAAGTTATGATTAAGGTTCGCTACCCATAAACAATTTTTAATAGCAGTTCCTATCAGCAGATAAACTAACTAAAAATTAAATTTTTAATTCGTTTAAAATATTGAGAAATTGATCTGTTAAATAGAATTTGCAATTGTGTCGTCAAATAAAATATAATAGAATGTTGAACATCGTATATACAAACGAATGGTTTTTGAATAAATTAATAGTAGCGAACGCAGCTTATTTTTTAATGTAGAGAAGACAGTGAAAAAGAAATGGACGTATTTCTTTTCGATAAACGTATTTCACATGAATCAATTTATGAATATAATGTTTTCTCTATCCACTCCTCCATTGAAAACGTCGCTGTGTTAGTCGTATCAGGATCTCGTTCTCTAAAAATGTCTGCAAAGAAATTTGTTTTTCAATCATGCGGCATGGTTTTGATTGACTCATTGATAATCGCATACCTATCATTGTTTTGAGTCGGACTGCACACATTATGTAATCATCAAATGTAATCATCCCATCTTTGGTTCCATAACGATGGACCAAAATATTTAAAATGTGATTGTTAAGTCGATAGCCAGCACTGTTCAAAGCTTGCCGCAATTCGAATGCACTCAAGTATCCTGACTCATCTTTGTCGTACAATTTGAACACCGCCTAGAAGAAAATATTTTGGTAGCATCACTGCTTTCTATAAGTTTTAATAACTAATGTGAATACGGAGTCGAGATATCAATACAATATGTAAATAAAATTTTTAAACTTTTTAAAAAGCAACTAATTCCATTATGCGATATTTTAAAAATTGTGTTAGATCAATTAGTACTTTTATTCTAAAGCGGCGATTACCGCGTTAATCATTCACAATACCTTTCTAATTCTCTTTTATTAGTTATTTAAATTACATTGTCTATATAAATAATCTAGACCAGGCCTGAGTAACATTGGACGCTCAAATCATTGCCTTCATTATTATGTATATCTATGTATATTAATATACTTAAAATTTAAAATACCGTTCAGACAGTAGTATTAAACGACATTATTTCACCGCTCGTTGACTAATTAGTTGTCCAGACCTGATCTAGATCAATAGTCTTCAAATACCGCGAGTCAAAGTCAAAATTTGAAAGAATTTTCATAGAAGAAACCCACACAAAACCCAAAACTCAAACATTTGAAATAATTAATACATAGTAATTTTCTTCTGATATAATTAGCTTCTTAATGAAGCTAACTTACCCTCCACTTCCTTATATCGTTCCATAGAGTTTTAAATTCTTCGAAACCAAGTTTTCCAGAGTGGTCGGCATCCAGCATGGCAACCATGCTGCGGCACACATCTTTACTGAATCCCTTATCATGTGTCTCTGAAATCACAGACAAATCCTTCCAACTATAATATTTACTCGATTTTTATACATTTTTGGTTTGTAATAAACACAAATGACTGAAAACACGAAGTTCTGAAATCTTAGAAAGCACAAAGGGATTATATTGTCATTATTTGCAATTATTGGTAACACCACAAATGTGAACATATCACGAATGGATAGCAGTAAGCTATGTTAACAATATTATAGAAATCTACGCGTAACATTTACACTGTATTTTGATGGGGATTTAGTGAATTATTTTCAAGCGAAATCGTTAATTGTTTCTATCTTTATTTTGGCAAAGGACATGCATAAATGTGTAGACATAAAAATGTTGTTACTAGACTGCTGATATCTATGCAAATTTAAATACTCTATGTACTAAACTACAGAAATGAGTATCAAATTAAAACTGAATTCAATTGTATAACACAATTGTAGTTTATACAATAATACCAGAATTATTTTTATATCATTATTTAATAACTAATATGTACGTATGTATATTCACATATTGTACGTATTTTGGATATTAGAAATTAAAAATTAAAACACTAATGCGTTTAATTCGATTAAAATCAAATATTAATTTCTATATAACAATACATGACATTCAGTTTTATTTTTGCTTATATTTATTGTATATTCACGTAATCTACAAATGCATAAAACCCGCAGTCTCTTCATTGAGTCATTTAATTTTCAGGCTTCTATCTTACATACGTAACTAACTCTATGTTATTTCTTTATGTTTCTTAATTATCGGCTTACTTGATTTCTATTTATCAGCGAC